CTGGACCTGCCACTTGGGGGTTGACAACCTGACCACTTCACTAGGTTGCCACACCCCTTCTGAGTAATTTATTCATTAGCTAATATTTTTAAAAAAACTTATAAATGAAACATATATCTGTAAAATCAAAGATGCAATAACAAAGTTAGTATTGTGATGACAGATACCGTAATACTTTATATCGTGACTAATCATGTAAAAAATACACAAAATGCAATAAATGTAATAAGTGCCATAAATGCAATAAATGTAATAAGTTATATTTAAGATCAGAAAAGGTATTTCGGGTAGATAAGGAATGAAGGGAGGAAATAAAAGATATTAAATTAATCACTGTAATTAGTTTAATTAGTTTTAATAGATAAGTTATATTTGTAAGCGATGAATTTTATATTATAAATAAAGGCCGAAATGGCCCTAAGGGATAATAGGTCTCATTTGCTTTAGTAATGAACAAGTTCCAATATATTGTAATCGTTCATAATAAAACCCTAACACTATACCTAGTATAAATCCTGTAAACCCCAATAAACATCGTTGTTCACCAAGTTCTTGTACACATGACTTATCATACTTGTATTCATTGACCCAAAGTAACTGAAAGCCTTTCTCACCCACAAGCCAAATCTAACACCCTCTTTTGAAAAGGTTACTTGTCATACATTACATGAGGTTTAGAATTTTGGAGCGACAAAGTTGCAATCTTCCGAACCCAACATTTTGGTGGTGACTGTGAGATCATACAACTTCCCTAGCAACGAATCATTCAAGCAGCTGGGCTGCAAAATTGGAAGACCTGAAACCCAAGAGAAAGGGAAGAAACTTCAGTTTTATTCAATATACTGTAATCCTAGCTGTGGTAAAAGAGAAGAATTGGTATAATTACAGTTAGTACTGATGAAGTGTGGTAAACTGAATTTAAAAGAAAAAGAGAAAACTTATCCAAGAAGAAAAGTGCCAACCACAATTCTACGTATAGCAATCCTGGGTTTAGACAGCAAGAAAGACAAGAGTTAGTGAGAATATGTTTAAGGAATAACTCAAAGAGGAGGTTAGTACTTACCTATGATAAAGAGCTCTTGGGATTCTAAAAAAATGTATGGACCAACTACCGCCAATTGGAATTATTAGCAAAACAGGATCCAAATGAAAGTACTGAGATGACAGCAAGCCACAAAAAATGAACTGATTCAAAGATGCTGTCAAAAAGAAGTTATATGCACCTATTGCAAAAAAAAAAAACATGATATTAGTAGCTGTTCAAAGATAAGAAAGTTGCAGCTGAAATGTCTAAAGTTAATAGACGTACTTACCAAAGAGTAAACAGCAAAAGTTCTGAAAATGATGGATGAACCCATGAAAAACCATAGCTTTTCTGATTCACAAGACCTAAAATGCTTTTTAGAAATATTAAAAGATGTTAGCTGGAATAACAACCCTGATGACGATGACGAAAAAGATAATATTAAGTATCTACCCTCGTATATCCAACCAGCCCCACTTGTAGGAAAAGAAGATATGTTTCTCATGCCTCCAGAAGTCCCAAGTTGGAAAGTTTTCTCAAAATGATCCTGTTATCAGAAAGACCGATTGAAGAAGTAATTGACCTCTATTTGGCTCTAGAAGCAAAGAATAGTAACCCTAATGCCAAAGTTCTCCTAGAAAGCTTGATCGATGGATACTTAGAGACACTCAAGCTTGAAGAACTAGAATTTGTCAACTGTGGGTACTATTATCGAAATAACACTGGTGTTGGAAAAGATAAAAATAATGGAATTAAAGTGGAAAAAGACAAATGTAAGGCATTCGAATATTATGAAAAATCTGCCAATTCAAATAAAGATTGTAGAGTATTTCCTGTTGGCTATTGTCATGTAAAAGGAGTCAGTGTTGAAGAAAACAAACAACTGACCTTGGAATGGTGCTCGAAATTAGCTGAGTATAGTCGATAATCCATGTTAAATAACCTGGACAAAGCCTGTGAAGATTGGAACAGAAGGGTGAATAAGTTTAGAAGGTTGATCCAAGATGATACAAAAATGATAAAAAATCCCTACCTAGTCAAGCCTAGTGATCGTTACAAGAATGAAGCATATGAAAGAAGTATGGAAAGTGAGGCATGTGATAATACGATTGGACAATTTGACCCTATTGAAGAAATTTCAGGAAAGAAAAAGGATGAATGGAGCAAAATCAAATTTATGCTGCCTTAAGTCTTGTTGTGTGGTGCTACTTCCAATCAAGTTGTAGAATGGTTCATAAAAACAGGTGCAAAACAAGAAAAGGGCCCCAAAACATATACGTTGTGGAAGGTCTTGAGTCAGAAATCTTGGCCTACTGAAAAAAAGAAGTTAAAGTTAGCGAAGTCAGACGAAAACCAATCTGCTGAGAAGAATTGAATGAAAAGATCTACCATGTACTTACCGAAGTGGAATGAAACCTTGGTATATGACTCTAGAGGAGGATGTTATAACAGACCCCTTGTCTTTGTTCCTGGTTGCATATGACAGTTGTATGCATAAGATTAGGTGTACCCTTCATGGACATTTGTCTTGAAGGTCTGATCTGAAGGAGACTATAAATGACGTCACGAACCTATTCCTGATCAACATCAATCAGTATCTCTGCCTTTTTTGATGACCCACGATTACATAAAAGAAGATCATGCATTGTACACATGACCTAAGCAGGAGGAAAATGTGACAACGAATACTGTGATACCTTATATCATGACCAATCATGTGAAAAATGCACAAAATGCAATAAATGTAATAAGTGCCATAAATGCAATAAATGTAATAAGTTATATTTAAGATCGGAAAAGATATTTCGGGTAAATAAGGAATGAAGGGAGAAAATAACGGATATTAAATAAATTACTGTAATTAGTTTAATTAGTTTTAATCGATAAGTCGCATTTGTAAGTAATAAATTTTATATTATAAATAAAGGCTGAAATGGCCCTAAGGGACGATAGGTCTCATTTGCTTTAGTAATGAACAAGTCCCAATACATTGTAATCATTCATAATAAAACCCTAATACTATACCTGATATAAATCCTGTAAACCCCAATAAACATCGTTGTTCGACCGAGTTCTTGTACACATGACTTATTATACTTGTATTCATTGACCCAAAGTAACTAAAAGCCTTTCTTGCCCACAAGCCAAATCTAACACCCTTTTTTGAAAAGGTTACTTGTTGTACATTACATGAGGTTTAGAATTTTGGAGTGACAGAGTTGCAATCTTCTGAACCCAACAGTATAAATAAATTTTTTTTAGGCACAAAAATTGGTAACTGATGTAAATTTAAAGAACTCAATATTAAATATTTTGTAATTTTCATTTTTTTTTTATCACATTTTTTATCGAGCAGATAAATAATTGTTAAAGACTTAACCAAAAGAATTTGTTAATCATTTCTAAAATGTAGAGGGTGCTAAACTTATGCTAAACTATGTTTCACAGATTTCAATGTTTTTTGCAGAGCCCCAGAATTTTGAGTTGAATTTATCAGAACTGAGTAATGCTAGCTAACCAACTATATTGCAGTCAGACATTGACTTCATCAATAGGTTTTCAGGCTCAGTTACTGAAATTTAAATTAATATTAACTTCTTTTATAAAGAGTCATTTTCTTATCCCTTAAATCGTTTAAAATTCAGTGCAAATTTGCACTAAAATTTTACAATAGTTATATATATTACAACTATATAAAAAATAATAACATAAATAATATAAGATATTATGAAAAAGTATAAAAATGTATTTTTTTGATTTATTTATATTTATAGTAATTAATAAAGCAATCCAGGCATTACTTATTAATACATAAAGGAATATTATACACTATACACCACATATTACTATGTGACGAATGATCATCATGTTTTCCATGCTCGGTCATATATTGAAATTGACACTAAACACAAGACTCTTTCTTTTTATGATATACCAAATAATGGTTTTGTGGATGTAATCATTCAATAGGTAAATTGAACTTTTTTGTAACATAAAATGGTCTTTTTTCAGAACTTTGATTGTGTAATTCTGATTGAATCATTACATTTTTTCTTTGTGTATGTAATTTTTGGTTCATTTCCAATGATTCTTCAATTAAACTCCATACTAAATTTATTATAAAATCTTTGTATAGCACAACAAAGTTGAGAGTTTTTGAAATAATAAAGGTATTAACGATACTAGTATCAAGAAGCCAAAAAAATAATGGCACCCAAATGTGATGTACAGGTACTTGTGTACCATAATAACTCCTTAATTGGTTGGCTATATCTATACCACCTATATGATGGTTGTAATTATCGATAACAGCAGGTATAGGGAGAACTTTTTTACTTGCATCACCAAAAACATTATGTACTTTGTTAGCATTAGTACTAGTTGTTCATGGTCATCACCTTTCTCTTTTTATTCGATGTTCATCACCTAAAATTTCATGCATGGTTGTTAACATAGTTACTGGACCATTGTCCATTCAGAACATAACTAATATATCATCCACAACTGCTTCAAAAAGAGTATTCTATTCTATTTTTTGTGATTTTTTGATTTTTAAAAAAGCAGAAAATTTTAAGGTATTGTTTTTTATTGTTCTACAACTGCCAAACCCATTTTCTCGCATATAACTAAACAAATTTATATTTGTAAAAAAATTATTTATGTAAATATCAAATATTTTGTTCTTAGGAAGTTGAGATATTAGATAATACACCTGTCAGCCAATCTTATTAATATTTGGAATTGGATTAATTTCAACATTAGATTCAATACAAGAGGTAAAAATAAAGCAGTAGGTATATTCTGAATCACACAAAGAAAGTATTTTATATCTTTTTGATGTGGGCTTATTTTTAATTCGTATTATATAACCACTTCTTTCCCTAAATCTGATAATCATTTCATCAATTGAAACTTGTGATTTTGGTAAATAAATTGACTTAGAAATGTTTCAGATATGCATAGCTAAAGGTTCAATTTTTGAATACCATGGTAAATGTGATGTTTTTGTTTTAATTTTTGAAATATGAAGGTAGTGTTTTATCTTTTTTTTTTTTTAAAAAAAAAAAAAATTAAAATTAAAATAATAAAATTTAATAATAACTAAAAATAAATGACATAACTTGTTCAAATCGAACTAATGTCATGTATTTAATAATTTTATATTGTGGATATTTCCAATCCATTTTCCAATAATCTTCTTTATTTGGTAATTTAAAACACCCATGTAAATTACTAAAGCTAACCATATCAACAATTCTTCTACTGTTAAAGGAATTCACTCATGACCCTTACTTGCTGATTTTGCTACAGCATAATAATTCATATTTTAACAATCATATTTAGCTGCAAATTAGAAAAAAATAAATGAAAAATTGAATGTGATGTAATATCACCAATGACTAATTTATCAGATAATTTTATCTGAGAAGAATAATATAATTTTGTATGTTGAAGTTTTTGAAATAATGGCAGTAATGGTAAATTAAACAAATTCGAGGAATGAGATACATTTATTTTTTTTTGCTCGACTACTTTTATTATCTTTTTTTCTTTTGTTCTTGCTATTTGTGGCTTCATTTTCAATTTCTATGTCAGTTTTGTCTTCAAATTCATCTTCATATTCATTTTCAGTATCATTGTCCATTGGATCACTGATCTCAATTTCATCCTTGATTTTGGCAATAATTCGTGAAATTCAAAGGTATATGGATCATTATCTTCATTATCTTTACTCATATTCCCATCTGAAAATAAGAATGCATAAAAAATATATATATATATATCGATCAAGTTACGTGATCAATTTTAATAAGGTAATGTAGATGATGATCGAACTTGATGACCCTCATTTCTATAATATTCCCGTGCAATCAAGAAATTTAATGAATTTTTAAATAAAGTAAGATCGAGATTTTTAATTAAAAAGTTAAAATCTTAATTTATAAGGTAATACAAGTGCTACATGAGCTACCAATCAAAATTTAAAATTTCAGTGCAAATTTGAACGAGAAACAGTTTAAGGGATACCAGGAATGGATTGCAATGAAGAATATGGTTTCCCATGATGAAATGGTGTCTGAGTAGATTTATCTCGTTCCTGGTTTCGCGCGATAACGTTGCACAGCTACTCATGTTTTAACAGAAAATACTAATTGTAATACGAACCTTAATCATTGATTTTCACGTTACACGTGTGTAACTCCTTGGAAGTCACTTGATCAAATCAGTCAGCGCACATACGTATTGATATGGGGTCTATGCAGTAGAAGGAAAATATTTCATTTTGAGATAATTCAATAATTGAGCTTAATAACTTATGAATTTCTAGTTAATCAAAAATTCACGATTTTCATTGATTAAAGGTGGCAGGGTAATCACGCGGTATACTTGTCTTTAGGCACCAACATGCAACCTTTTTTACACTATCTTGATTTTTCATTATGCAAATTGGTAATAAAAAAAATGTTCACTGCATCGAAATTTACCTTAATCCAATAAACTACATTTTATATTTGGGATAGTTTCTACCCTTTCTACTTCAAAGACCCCAGTACTGTATACAAAATCGGTACCACATAGCACGTCACATATTTAAATGGGATCAAATCCGCCCAAGTGCATATCCAAATATAGTTAAAATATAAAGAAGTTTTTACGCTTAAAAAAGCATACCGATACGTACCTATCGCTATACGTATTATCAATTTAAACTTACACCTACTACAGTTTTGAAATCATTACTTTACCTATTTCTAAGCTCTCAAATATTATAATGGATCGAATGTTTGCTCCAGAATATTTTGACATGATATTTAGATTTCTTCTGACTTATAAAGATTTGCATTCTTGTCTCTTAGTCAATAGACATTGGGCTACTTGTGCCGTTCCAATTTTATGGGAAGCACCCTTTAAAATTAAAGACAACTATATTCCATCTCCAAAAGTGATAAAAACCTACCTTGCATTTATACCAGATAGTACTTTTCTCAAATTAGGATATAATAGAAGAATTGGGCTGTCAATTACTAGGCCTCTGTTTTTTAACTATCCATCATTTCTTAAAGAGCTTTCATATGACCAATTCCTTAATGCAGCTATAGCAAACAAATGTTGTAAAGATATTATAACTGAATTATTTAAAATATTTGTTATGCATAATGTAATATTACGCAAACTTGATATCTATAACAATCTTAATTATTATCCTGGCATCCTGAATAATTTAAGATCTTGGGTTCTTCCTCATTTTTCTGAATGCACTTCTATATTCAATAGATTGACTTATTTTAATTGCAGCGACCATTGGGAAATTCAAAAAACTCAGCTTTTTAATATCATTGCAGAGAACTGTCATAATATTGAAAATCTTAAAGCTAGTATTTGTTATAAGGATGAAGGAATGGCTTTAGCATTCCTCATTCGTTCTCAAAAGCATTTAAAAAAGTTCTCTCTGATTAACAGCAATAAATTTGCATCATTTCCTGTTCTAGCTCTCATGGATCAGAAACATTCACTTAAAAGCGTTACATTTAAAGATATGCATCAAAAGAGGATTAAGACAATATATTTCAATTATTCTGCTTGTCAATTAAATAGTAGCGCTATCAATTTACTGACTCAGTGTACAAATATCAACAAATTAAAGTTTAAACACTGTGAAGGGCTCAACTCCCCTGCATATTTTTCTCTCGGCACTGCTTTTTCGAACTTAACATCTTTAGAATATTCTTATGGTGATTATAACATTTATGATGACATGATTCCCGTTCAGTTATTATCTGATCTCATTATGACAAGTTGCAATACACTTAAAAAAATTGTACTTGACTGGTATATTCTTTTTCATCTTGATATTACTCAACTTGTTAAAATGATTGCACAACATGTGGTAAACCTTGAATATTTAAAAATTCCACTTAATACATTAGAACAACTTGCTCTAATTCACAGAACATATAGTCCATTAAGGAGGCTTGAAATTCATTTGGACAAAAAAATAAATCTACATTGTGCTCTTTCTCTTCTTGCAAATGTTCCACTCAAAAGTCATGAGCATTCAATTCAATTATCCTTTGGTCATAATAAAAATTTCGATCTAAAAATCAATCAACTAAATCAGATCTTTGAATCCATTTTTTATAAAAGTAATCGGATTGTTGATTTTATTTTACATCTGAATAATGGTTCAATAGAGAAGAGAGTGTTACTTTTAAGAAATTACCCGAGACTTAAGATTAATATTTTAAGTGGAAGTATTTTGAATAGACACTTGCCAGATGTCATAAGAATAATTCCTGAAAGGTGCAGTTGTAACGAATTGCTTGAAATTTGTAATAATTTACTAAAAATAAATTCAAATGATATATGGGCATTAAAGCAACGTAGTGCAACTTATTTTAATGCAACAAAATATACAAAGTCGCTTGAAGATTTGAATAAATCTTTAGAAATTGAACCAAACGACGCTCATGCATTAAGGCTTCGTGGATATGTATATTATTCTATGGAAAATTATGAAAAATCATTAGTAGATTTAAGCCGATCACTAGAAATTGAACCAAATAATGCATGGGCATTAAAATTTCGCGGAATTACATATTTTAAATTTAACCGATATAAGGAATCATTTGATGATTTAAATAAATCTTTAAAAGTTGAACCAAATTATTCATTTGTATTTAAAAAATGTGATGAACTTTTTTGTAAGATTAATAAATATGATGAGTCGTTCACGAACCTAAATGAAATCCTCAAAGTAGAACCAAATAATGCGTTTGCATTAAAAAACAGGGGTGCAATTTATAGGGAAATGAATAAATATGATGAATCACTTGCGGACTTAAATAAATCTCTCGAAATAGATCCTGAAGATAGCTTCACGTTAAGAAATCGTGGTGCGACCTATTTAATAATGAAAAGATACAATGAATCAATTGAAGACTTGAATAAATCTCTTAACGCAGAACCAGATAACGCATTTGCATTAAAATATCGCGGTGCAGCTTATATTATGTTAAGTAAATATTCTCTCGGGCCTTACTATGAATATATGTATTTTAATCATGACCAGTCATTTGCAGATTTAAACAATTCACTCGATATTGAACCAAATGATGCGTTTGCATTAAGATATCGTGCGATAAATTACCGTAAGAGAAAGCAGTATGAAATGTCACTTAATGATTTGAATAATTCACTAGAAATTGAACCTAATGACGCATTTACATTACAACAACGTGGCATAACTTACTATTGTGTGAAATTATATGATAAATCACTTGAAGACTTAAATAAATCATTAAAAATCGATCCAAATAATGCTATTTCCTTAGGAAATCGTGGAAGGAGTTATTATATGATAGGGAATTATGGAAATTCGCTCGAAGATACAAATAAATCATTAATAATTGAGCCAACTAATGCAATTGCATTAGGAAATCGTGGCGCAATTTACAGAAGTATGAAAAAATATGATAATTCACTTGCAGATTTAAATAAATCGCTTGAAATAGAACCAAATGATGCATTTACATTACAACAACGTGGAATAACTTATTATTGCATGAAATTATACAGTGAATCACTTGAGGATTTAAATATATCACTAAAATCTGATCCATATAATGCTAATTCTTGGGGAATTCGTGGAAGGACTTATTATATGATGGGAAAATTGGAAAAATCTCTTGAAGATTTAAATAAATCATTAGAAGTTGAGCCAACTAATGCCATTGCCCTAGGAAGCCGTGGTGCAATTTACAGAGTAATGAAAAAATATGATGAATCACTTATAGATTTGAATATATCTCTTGAAATAGAACCAAATGATGCATTTACATTAAAAAATCGTGGTTTTGTTTATAGAATTATGAAAAAGTATAATGAATCACTTGTAGACTTAAATAAATCACTTAATCTAGAGCCAAATGATGCATTTGCATTAAAACATCGTGCTGCGACTTATCTTATGACAAATAAAGATTTAATTGAAGATTTAGACAACTCTTATCTGACCAACAATTATTCGAATCATAAGGATCGTATTCACCAGCGTAATAAATACGAAAAATCACTTGCAGATTTAAACAAATCACTACAAATTAAACCAAATGATGCATTTGCTTTAAGATTTCGTGGGATAAATTACTGTAAGATTAAGAAATATAGAATGTCACTTAAAGATTTGAACAGTTCATTAAAAATCGAGCAGAATAACGCATTAACATTACAACAACTTGGCGTAACTTATTATTATATGAAATCTTACAGTAAATCGCTTAAAGATTTAAATAGATCACTAAAAATTGATCCAGGTAATGCAACTTCTTGGGGAATTCGTGGAATGACTTATTATATGATGAAAAATTTTGACAAGTCGTTTGAAGATTTAAATAAATCATTAGAAATTGAGCCAACTAATGCCATTTTCCTAGGACGCCGTGGTGCAATTTACAGAGTAATGAAAAAATACGATGAATCACTTATTGACTTGAATAAATCTCTTGAAATAGAACCAAATAACGCGTTTGCATTAAAAAATCGTGGTGCTATATATATAATAATGAAAATTTATGATAAAGCACTTGCAGATCTAAATAAATCACTTGAAATAGAGCCAAATGATGCATTTGCATTAAAATACCGCGGTGCAACATATATTATGATAAATGAATATATAATTGAATATTTAGACTGTTCTTATCAAAACAATCGGCATAATAATTATAAAAAATCGCTTGCAGATTTAAATAATTCATTAAAAATTGTTCCATTCGATGCATTTTCCTTAAGATATCGTGGAATAAATTACTGCAAAACTAAAAGGTATAGGATGTCGCTTAATGACTTAAATGAATCGCTAAGAATTAAGCCGAATAATGCATTTACATTACAACAACGTGGAATAACTTATTGTTATATGAAAAGTTATGGTAAATCGCTCTCAGATTTAAATAAATCATTAGAAATCGATCCAAATAATGCCAATTCTTTAGGAATCCGTGGAAGGACTCATTATATGGCAGGAAATTATGAAAGTTCACTCAAAGATATAAATAAATCACTGAGAATTGAGCCGACTAACGCAATTGCATTAGGAGTTCGTGGTGCAATTTACAGAATATTAGAAAAATATATTGACTCACTTGCAGATTTAAATAAGTCTCTCGAAATTGAGCCTAATAATGAATTTGTATTAAAAAATCGTGGTGCTACTTATTATATGATTGATTGCTTTGCGAAGTCACACGAGGATTTAAAAATGTCGTTAGTGATTGATCCAAAAGATTCATTTGCACTAGGATACCACGGAGCAATTTACAATAAAAAAGGTGATTATAATCAATCACTTAAATTTTTAAATGAATCGCTCATAATTGAACCAAAAAATGCATTCGCATTGCGACAACGTGGTATAGCGTACTTTTATATGAAAGAATATGATAAATCAATGACAGATCTAGATAAATCTTTAAGATTAGAACGTTTATATCCACGAGCATTACTTTGATCTTAAAGAAACTAGTAGGATGAATTAATGACTAGACGTATTCAATATTATATCTAAGGAGTTAGAAAAATAACATTCGGTTATTATGTAAATAATGATAGCAAATTATTAAAATTATTGGTGTTTATTACAAAGAATTGGTTATACATGCTTTCAGTCTTAATTATTTATAGTTACAAAAGGATCAGGAGCGTAACTAGCCCTTGTTTCAATTTATAGTACTCGTGTAAGCTTTAATTATCGAGTTTTTTTTTAGAATTACAGTCAAACCTATCTATAATCACACATCTCGGGATAAATATTTGTGTGCTTATAAGAAGATTTTTACTAAGATGTGCTTATAAAAAATGTCTATATATAATTGGTTTTTTTAAAATAAATGTGCTTATAAAGAGGTTTTTATATTACGTGCTTATAACGAGTGTGACTATAGAGGGGTCTGACTGTAGTTGTTTTACAAAATATATTAAATAAAATTATATTATTAATGGTACATTAAGTATTTCGACGTCTGTTACCTAAACAGGATTTGTTCTCTAAGTACTCGTATAATTTTTGTATTCTGTTTCGGGATGCTAACGACCAGACTGAAATCGTTCAGTTAGAAGCAGTGTTCGAAATTGGCGAATCTAATTATTTTCGATGTATTACAGTTAGGACAGGAAGCATGGTAAAATTTTCGGGCATGCCCCACTGATTGTGCTTTGAGCATGTCCCTAATATATAAATAATATAATAAGTTTTGATTGTGCAACATAAATAGCCATCAAACATTCATAATTATATATATACAGTCACACCTCCCTAAGTGCACACTCTTTAAGTGCAAATACTCAGTAAAACCTCTCTAAATGCATGATACGGTTTGGCCCCAACTTACAAGAACCTTATGTATTTTATTCTTTATAAGTGCAAACCTCCTCTAAGTGCAAACTTTTAATTTTTTTACTATGATCCTGACGAGATGCATTTAAGAGGTGTGATTGTACTTGAATTAGAAAATAAGATCATTATTACTTAATATAAATCTTATTTATGCATTTCACTAATGTTTCAGAATTATAATATTAAATTTATATAGAACATATTAGTTGTTATTAATGATAATAGATTAAGCTAGACACAAATCATTTAACTCTTTCTGTAGATTCTTAAAATCAACTTTCTTCCAATAAACAATTCAATTTTTCTTAACATTTATTAAACTAATAGTTTTAACTTTCTAATAAACTTCTTATTTATAGTTTTCTGATTTAAAAATAGTATAAATTTATTTATATTTAAATATTTGAACTAAAAAAATATATATATATTTTAATAAAATTATCTTTATTTATATTCTTTTTAATTTTTTTTTATATAATATCAAGTAAGAAAAATAATAATATATTAATTAGATATAAATACATAATTAAAATATTATTCGTAAACTACACTATTGTTGCTATATAAATTAATGATATTTAGTATAATGCTATTCTTTTATTTTCTATTATTAGTTAAATTAATTATTATAATTATTAACTATAGAAAAAGGTAAATAACAAATTTTAAGTTTAAAATTTAATAAAATCAAAATTTTGAAAATTATATCTTTATTATAATAACATTATTCCATCAATTAGTTGAAATAAGATATCTAAACTATAATTGCACTAATATAATTAGTAAATTATTAGGTATCTGTATAATATTGATTATACAAAAAAATGTAGACTGGTACTAAGTAATGCAAATTGAAAATAAGTTCTTGTAATAATATAAATTTGTAGAATTGAAAAAACTAAAACCTATTTAAAAAAATCTAAATAAAAAGATAATACAGATTTTGATAATATCACCATCAACATATACATTATCAAATAGTATAATTCAAACTAAATATGCATGAATATTAGTAAAAATAATTGACTGAATTGAAGGAATATGTAATTTAACTCTTTTACTTGATGGATAGATAGATATATCTAATAATTCTATATATGCTTTTCTTTTACATAAATTTGAAGATATTAATGAAATTATCAATATAGAAGATTTTTCTAATATCTGATATATAGTAGATAATTTACTTATTGTAGTAGAAAATTTATTACAAAATGTTTCTATAAATTTTGATAAAATTATTACTATAGTTATAGACAATTCTTTAGTTATGATATAGCTTCAAAAGAACATTTCAGACAAATATCATTATATTATTAGCATTAAATATTATTTATACATTTTTAATTTAATTGTTAAAGGAATTTTATCATACCAACAATATCAAAATACAATTAAAAAAAATTTAATATTAGTTAATTTTTTTACTAGTTCTTATTTTTGGAATATAAAATTAAAACAATGATTTTTAAAAAACAATATTAAAAAATGCTTACAAACTTTTTATGAAACTTGATAGTATTTATTTTCAAAAATTTGTCTTTTAGTTCAAAATTATGAAGAAGGTTTTCAAGATTGTTTTGAATCTAGTATTAACTTTTCTAATGAATATCTTTCTATTCTAACTAAAATTAAAGAAATAATTACAAGTCACTGACATTTTCTTGAAAATGAACAATTTATTATTATTCTTCAATATGTAGTTAATGCAATTACAAAACTTCGAATTTATTTCACACAACTCTCCCCGACGATCACTTGTACCGAATTTCACACCAACAAAAACGGAAAACTTATTGGAGAAAGTAGAAGA